GGAATGTATTCCTATAGCATAGCTATGGTTAGTATCAGGGTTTTTGGAAAATACTCCCGCTCCAGTGCCTTCCGCAGTCTTAGACCCGTCTGTATACCAGGTTTGTTCCTGTCGTTGGGCATTGGGCTCCCTTATGGTGATCTCCGCTCTTTCCTGTATTAAAACCTCAAAGGGAGTATTAAAAGAGTACCTCTTGGTTAAGTGGTCTGATCTCATGTCTAGCACGTCTCCTGTCACTAACCTTGAGATACTCATGTGACCTGGCCTAATGTCAAGATTTCCCAGTGAATTATTTTCTTAAAATGTCAATAAATTATATTTCAAAACGTCGATTAGAACCCTATATTAACCACATATTATACAGCTCTCGTTAATTGTTGAATTTTGGTATAGGAACATGAATCCTCAAAGGGCTTAGTTATCGAGATACAGGGTGTTAAAATTTTGAAATGAAAATTCAAAATTTGCCATAAATCAAAAACTATTTTTTTCAAATTTGAGTAAGGAATATTTTGACATAAAGTAACCTTTGTCAAATTTAACCAGTATTAATGACAACTCTTTCCCCCTATTTTTTACGCCATTTGAACAATTTTTTTTATTGCTGATTTTGTTTTAATTATCTATTTGCTTTTAGTCAAAAACGTAATAATCTTTTATGGAGCTAAACTGAACGGTGATGTATAAATTTCCTTCAAAACAAAAGTCTGCTTATAGGTACTTAGATAATTTGTAACTATGTACAATATTTTTCTTAATTATAATATATTAGGCACGTGTCAAATTTTGGAAAATAAAATTTGAAAAAGTATTAAAGGACGTTTTTAATTTATGGTAAATTTTGGATTTTGGTGTCAAACTTTTTACACCTTCTACCTTAGAGACTAAATCCTGTATGAGTGAATATTCCTATATGGGCTAGATCGTTGTCGTAAATATGTTTTATATGAAAAAATATATAAATATATGTCAATATTTTTTTTAGTTATGCTATTTCTCAAGAAACTATTTTGAAAACTATTGTTTTTATATACAGGGTGTACCAATAAAAACTCCCAGGACAATTATTTTGGTAAGTGCTTCATTTTTAGATATAAATTAATTTTAAATAAGTCAATATGTAGATGGCGCTGCGCTCAATATATTTTTTTCGATGGGAGGATCTTTTTTACATAACGCATCTTATAAAAAATGCATTTTTAAGCAGATTTTGTTCTATAAACTAATTCGATAAATCTAGCCATTTTTGATATACAGAGTGGGCCACTCAAAACAGGTTCATCTTGTTTTTCAGCATTAATCATTGGATTTTAATAAAATGCTAGAACAGGTCGATTTTTATTCCTAAGTGAACACATTTTTACAATACAGACATTTGTCATGTGTCAACTTCCTCCCTTTTACTTCTCCAACCCCTTAATTTTAAATAAGGAATGTATCATGTACGGCACATCATTGAAAAGGTAATTTTATGGGGAAGTCAGAAATATGACTGTTTATTGCGATATTTTTAATTTTAGCGCCCTCTATCGGGATAAAACACCTGTAATGTATTATAAAGTGTGACACTTCATTTAAAAGCTAATTTAATTACTAATTCAATGCACCACATAACATTAATATAAATATTTCCATATTGCACTTGCAACAAAATAAAGTTAGCAATAATGTTTAAAATAATGCATGACTAATTTTCAAACTATTGCATGTGCAATATGGAGGATATTCATATTAATGTTATGTAGTGCATTGAATTAGTAATTAAATTTGCTTTCAAATAAGGCGTCACACTTTATATTACGTACAGTTTTTTTATACCCGATAGAGGGCAGTACAATTAAAAGTATCGCAATGAACAGTCATATTTGTAAATTCCCTATAAAATTACCTTTTTAATGATATACTACACATTGTACTGTCACACTCTATAATACGTAGTAGTTTTTTTATCCCGCTAGAGGGCAATACAATTTTAGTAACGCAATATACAGATATATTTCTGAATTCTCCATTTAATTACCTTTTCAATGATGGTACATTACCTATTTAAAATTAAGGTGTTGGAGAAGTGCAAGGAAGGGGTTGACACATGACAGATGTCTGTATTGTAAAAATGTTTTTAATTTGGAATAAAAATTGACTTGTTTTAGCATTTTCTTAAAATCCAATGATTAATGCTGAAAAACAGGATGAAACTGTTTTGAGTCAAAAATGGATAGATTTATCAAATTAGTTTATAAAACAAAATCTACTTAAAAATGCATTTTTTACAAGATGCGTTATATAAGAAAGATCCTCCCATCGAAAAAAATATATTGAGCGCAGCGCCATCTACATATTGACCTACTTAAAATTAATTTATATCTAAAACTGTCTTAGCGCTCTATGAACTGGCCTTTACAAAATTAAAATATCTCTATTACTTACCAAAATATTCGGCCTGGGAGTTTTTATTGGTACACCCTGTATACAGTATGGTTCTAATGAAACGAATAAATTCATTATAATGGAAGTAGTTGGTTTTTTGAAATAATGCTCGGAGAGGTTAATTTTGTTTACTGAAAGCGCAATATTTCAAAAAGAATTCAAGATTCCTCCTACTTCCCATTTTTGGACAGTGACGTCATTGACAATTTTTTTAAATAGTAACCTCAATCTTTATACTTGATTTTGATAAATCTTGCAATATCTTACATAACAATTTTTTTTGAATAAAAGTCATTTAAAGATCAGCACAAATTTTATTTTATTTTGAGAACACAATAAATGAATGAAAGATAATTATTTGTAATTAAATGCTTAATCTAACAAAATAATAATAAAGAATTTAATATTATTATTAATTAAATACAACCAAATCTATATTAAATGCTCAAATTGTTGACCCTCAACTAAAATACAATGCGAAAGATGTGCAGTGATCTCTTCTTAGACGTTCTCCAAAATTTCCGGCGTTATGTTTGTAATCTGAATGCGTATCCGTTCTTTGAGATCATTGATATTTTGTGGTCTATTTTGGTATACTTTACTTTTCAAGTATCCTCATAAAAAGAAATCAAGAGGAGTTAAATCCGGTGACCTATTGATCCTCTTCGACCTTTTCACAGATTTGGGAAGACGTTGTCCAAGTAGTTTCGTACCAACACAGCATAATATGGCGCCGTCTTGCTGTAGCCACAAATCATTTCTGTTTGGGAACAATCGGTTCAAATTTAGGATTAAGAAGTTTTGAAGAAATTATAAATATCGAGGACCTCTTAAAGTTTCTTCGAAAAAGTATGGCTCAGTAGTCTTATTATCTATTATTCCCGCCCAAACATTCACTTTTTCTGGGTATTGAGTATGGTACTCTTGCATCCAGTGTGGATTTTCGGTAGCCCAATAACGAGAAGTCTGACGATTGACATTACCGTTTAGTAAAAATGTAGATTCATCGGAAAAAAGTATAGTTTAAAGTCAAAATTTCGAGATTAAAGTCAAAATTTCGAGTTTAAAGTCGAAATTCCGAATTTAATACGTTGACTGCCAAGCAAAAAAACATTTTTTTTCTGTAGGGCCTAGGAAGACCATACGTTTATTGGACTTATAATTAACTTCCCATATATTTAAAAAAATTATTGTTTCGTTTTTACGGGTTTTTTTATGCATGTCCTAAGAGACCAGCGCGGCCCCTGTCCCCAAAATTTCTAGTTAAATTCTTCTTTGACGCAGCTGGTCTCTTGACCTTGGTTTGCGCGGCAGCGTAAAATATTACTAGCTCGTGTTTTTTTTGTGTCATTGGTTATTGGTTATACTTTTTTTATATTGATTTGTTTTATTTACTAGTGGGACCACCGAAGGGGCCAGACACAAAAAAAAATTAGGTTTAAAAACCATGCTCATAGATATCTTTTGCTGGTCCCCTAAACACCATTATTACAATATAAAGTGGACCAGCAGTTCCAAAGCTGAGAGAAAGCCTGCTGGTCCCATAGGATGAGACTAGCGTAGCAGTCAACGTGTTAAAATCGAAATTCCGAGTTTAAAGTCGAAATTTCGAAATTTAAAAAAAATATTATGTGGTCTAATTTTGATAAGGTAACTAGATTCGTTTTAGAAAAAAGTAAAAAGTAGATAAGATTTAAAAATAATAAAGAAATTTTTTTTAACAATATTCAAAACTAAATCACTTAGACAATTGATATGGCTAAATAGATATTTAGAAGACTTCAAATTATGTATTAAAACACACACATTTCCATTTTAAATTTTTATTAGATGTCAAAAATAAAGAAAATTTCCTGATGAAGCGCCCGATTAAAAATAATAATCGACGGGTTTCAGGATTTTCCCGAAAATCACTGGTTTACGAAATAATGAATTTATTCCTTTCATTAGCACCATACAAATACAAGACGTCGGCGGAGGACATTTTGAACACCTAATTTAGTAGATTATTTTTGAATTATTTTGCTTTGAAAATGTCTTTAAATTTTTTTTTATTTTTGTTGTTATTATTATTTTGTTACATTAAGCACTTAATTACAAATAATCATCTTTCATTCATTTATTGTGTTCTCAAAATAAAATAAAATTTATGTGTCTGATCTTTAAATGACTTTTAATCAAAAAAATTGTTATGTAAGATATTGTCAATATTATGTTTCCGAGTAGGAAATTGCAAGATTTATCAAAATCAAGAAAAAAAATTGGTGTTACTATTTAAAAAAATGAAAATGACGTCATTTCCCAAAAATGGGAAATGAGATAAAATTGAGTTATTTTTAAAAAATTGCGCTTTTAGTAAACAAAATTGACCTGCCCGAGCATTTCTTCGAAAAACCAACAACTTCCATTATAATGAATTTATCCCTTTCATTTGAACCATACTGTATATTATATGTACCATATTAGATAAAAAAAAACTATTTAATTACATTTGCACTCTCATCAACAAAATTGTAATTTAAATTTTTTTTTATTGAAATTACTGATTAGATGAATAACTGTTTCGTACTTACTGCTTTTTGGTCTTCCAGAAGAATATCCAATATCGTACAAATTTTTCCTTAGCTTAGGATCCCCAGCTAGCGAAAAATTTTTCAAAACACTTGCCAATTCTTCGTTGGAATGATATCTAAATTCCAATTCATGCGATGACACAAAAACCAAAAAACTAATTATTACCAAAAACCTCAATCGAAGCAAAAACATATTTTTTAAATCAGCGCGATAATATAGCCGGTAAAAAATACCAATATTGTTTATTTGTGTGTGTACTAATCACTTGCGGTTTGTAACTGTATTAAAACCGATAAGTCAATTTTCAACCAAATGTTTTTGATAGATTACTCCCTACCAGCAACATAATTATTATACATTGGGTACAATTACAGAGATTGTACCCTATAGGTTTCTTATATAAAGATTTAGTCTAAAATGTGGTACATTTTATCATTTTCCACTATATTTATCATAGATCTTATTTATTAGGTACCCTACGCCATATTTGTTTAGTATACCCCGTGATGTTAGTTCGAAATATTCTATGAATTTTGAAAATTATTTGAAAACACTCCTTTAAAATAAATTTTTCGGAATGTCAAATGTCAAGGAAGTAGGTTAAGTGTCGTTATTAATTGTTTAGAAAATTTGTTGTAAATTACAATACAGAATTTGATAGAAACAGAAACCCAGAGTTTACGATATCTGTAAATGAAATTGTAACATGTATGGACAACAGAGGCCTCCCCCCTCTCCCTTTATAACTAGATCAAGGGATGGAAAATTTAGAAAGATTGACTAATTTTTAATGATTTCCATAGACGCTGTGGATGTACTTCTCGGAGCTTCTGTAATACACAAGCCTCTGTACTCCTGAAAATATATTGAGGGCTATTGTCTGGCCTCGAAACAATCGCTTCATAAGTAATCATGGGTATTGTTACTGCAGAATGAAGTTAATGTATCATTTTCGGTTTTAATCCTCACATTTCCTCAAACAAATTTTTCCCTATGACAGACATTTCCCTTCTTTTGACCACTTTTTGTAAGTGTTGGTACCAAATAAGTTTACTATCTAGATTTGACACAGATATTTTACTATGATTGTTCTTTTTAGCCTTCCTCCAAATAAGGACGACGCTTCTAGGACCTTTGATCTTGTTTTCCGAGTGAACGTCAGAGTTTACAAAGAGGCTTTCCCCAATGCAGCATATTTATGTCAGCCTTAGAGCCTTTTGAATGAGTTCGAAGAGTGTGGTTTGATGTTTCCCTTGGATAAGGATGACTATGTCATGAGCGTATCCTGGATTGTTCAATATTCTCAGCAGTTTGTCTGCCACTAGATTCCACAGTAAAGGAGAGAGGAATGTTCAGTGAATATTCGCCTTCATGGTGTCACTAAACATTTGTGCCTGTACTTGCCGTCCACGTACCATGTTTTCTGTCAACCAACGTCTTCTATTCCATGCTTGCGAGCGGCAGCTACCATTGATTTGAAGGAGACGTTATTTAAAGCTCCTTCCATATCAATAAAACTCCTAAGATTCACAAGTTTACAAAAAAAAGTCCGGACTATTTGACCAGACCATGGTATTCCTAGGTATTTTGGCGTCCTGAATCCAATCCCGGGGTCAGTTTTGCCCCATCACGTCATAAAAACCAGATTTCAAAGTCATTTAGAGGTCAAAATGATGATTTTTTGGAACTGGCTCCGGGACAATTTCTCAAGCGATCTGTTAAGGTCTTGAATGCCTTCCAAACATTGTAAACGGTCCCCAAATCTCGACCAGGACCAGCGCAGGTCCAGCCATGTGGATAAAATGTTGTCATGATCGTTGTATCTTGTGAATTTCGATCTCCCTGCCAAGGTGTTCAATTTCGGCGATCCATTTGCTGTGAGATAATGCCAGTGGATCCAGCACTGACCCAAATGGCCCTAGAAGCTTGCCAGAACATTGGAGTTATGCTCAAGTGGTTCGAGGTATTCGAGCTCGTAAATTTTGCTTCCCTTGCCAACACGTAGAATTTTGACAATTGAGTTATCGTCAGTTAATGCCAGCACTTCTCAAAGTGTTCCTAGAACATCGTCCAAAAATTGGGTGAAGATGAGTATACTGTCCGGTGCAAACTAAGGTTACAGAAAATGGCTCGAAGATCTCAACCCGCAACTTCAGAGTTTACCACCTTTGTTCTGCTGACAGGCCATTGGAATTCAATCCCTCTGATAAGACGTCACATTCCACCAAGTGAATTGGTGTAGCTATCATACAATATTTGCGACTATGACTTAGAGTCTGCTGTTAAACTTAGTTCTGCTATTAGCATTACCCAGGAACAACGACGGGGACGTTGCAGATACTGGTCCCTTCGGGGTGCTTGTTTATAGTGAGTCCCCTCGCCTCTCACTTTTTTCCCTCCCAATTTCACAATCTTTGCGTGCTTGTTTATGGGGTCTGCAGTGTTGATCAAAACTCCTTCTCCTTTCTCTTATGCCCCTTGTTGGTATCCCTCTTCAAGTTCCAACAGTAATCTGCCAACATGTTCATGTCCTAGAAACCTTGGTAGCATCTTTCCATCTCCTTTATATCTTGGTGGAATCTTTTACCTTGTTGTCCGAGGTTATCTGGGAAATTTCCCAAATGCGAATCCAAGAAGTGGACCTTCAAGCTCATCAAACATCCAATAGCTTTATAGTTCTGGAACAAGCCCTCTACCAATTCCATATAGTTTGGGTCTTTAATATTTCCAAATAATTCTGAGAAACATTCACGAAGCTCTTCCATGCTTCTTCCTCATCTACCGTCATCTTCTTAGAGATTCGTGGCCCCTGTCCAATGTTTGGAAGATATTCATGACCTAGAGAATACCCCTCAACTTAACAGATCGCTTTAGAAATTGTCCCGGGGCCGGTTCCGAAAAAGAACCATTTTAACCTCTGAATGACCTTGAAATCTGGGTTTTCTGACGTGATGGAACAAAACTGACCCCGGGATCGGATTCAGGACGCCAAAATACCTAGGAATACCATGGTCAAATAGTCCGGACTATTTTTTTTGTAAACCTGTGTTATTTATTTGTTACTGAGTCCACCCTGTATCTTGGCGCTACAAGATGGTACGGAACTATTGAAATAGAATAAAAATGAGATATTGACTATGCTAAAGTGTCTGCACCTTTGCATTACACTTTTACGTCATATGTCAAACTCGAGATAGTGAGGCTAATCAGTTATGGAGAAAATAAATGCTATGTTTATTAAATAGCTTCATTTAAGCGATATAAAATCATTTTCGTTCCGGTAGTCTTCAAATCTAAAATTATTGACTTTAAAGAAATAAAAGTACCAATCTAGTCGCCATTTTCATTACACTTTTCCGTTACTTGAAATGCGTCCATCTGCCATATCGCAAAATAGTTTTTATGTCGTCTATACTTTATTCTAACTCGATGTGCGGAACCTTTGCGGAACAGACTCAGATTTTCCAGATTGATAAGTCTATTAAGATCTATGAAATGATCTCTCTACTGGAATGGTTTGACAGGTTTTGCTAATCCTATCGATAGAAATGGCGTCGGAGTAATTGGCCATTGTCATGAGGTTTGTTGGAAGCTTAGAATATGTTGGAAGGCCTGGCTTAAGCCTTGGTTTCTTTGAACACTCCGTCGCGGTGAGCGGACAGTCCAAGCTTGTTCTGTAGAGCCTACAAATTTGCGGGGACAATGTTTCTATTACCTGTTGCAGAAGCATAAGCAAAACCCTTTCTGGTCCTGATCATTTGTATGGGTTGAAGGTGTGCTTTGCATATGTTACTTTTTTATTGTTACTACCCGTTTTGCAGTTTCTCACTCTTGAAGCAGTAAATTATATGAATAAGTGTTATCAAGCAGTGTTAGTATGGTGATCAGGATCATACTTACAAACATATTTATTAATGAACATCATTTCTTTAATTGGTTATGAGAATGACAGGAATTGATAAAAAAATTTAAAAATATACGAGCATTTTTAGTTAAAATTGTTACGCTATACGTGTATATTTGTATTCAGCTGTTGCAGCAACATTGGCATCGGTGTGGTATCTCTTGTCTTTTTTTTTTATAAATCTAACAACGTTGCTGCAATCGATGCAACACCAATCTATCAGTTTCAATGTATAGTTTTTCCGATTAGATGTAACAACTGAGATCTTAATTGCGGGAATTAAGCTGAATTAAGGCGTTAATTAATTATTTAATTGTTCTATTGTGGGCTTTTAACAAATAAAATTATAGACACAAATTTTAAACCAAAATGTCAACTGTTATGTATTTCAATGGTTAACCATAAATAAACCAAATCCAACACAAGGCGTTCGGCAAAACAGCGATTCCAACAAACCGATGAAAAAAATTACACTTGTTATTTTACAACTCAACATTAAACAAAATAAAGGCACCCGCACCAAATTTATTGATTTTGGGTCTGTCGATTTTAATTAATGCATTAATATTACTCGTAATTTTATATTCAAACAATATTATTTTCAATTAATTATATCTCTAATAAAAATAATTTTCCTAATAATAAAAAGTTGCGTGTATTTTTTTACTGTGTACTTATTCGAAAAATCATGGTTGTTTTCCTGTTCATTATAGTTAGAATATCGCAAAATTATCAAGGATATTTTTGGCAAGTAGGACACGCCGGGTACATGCCTGTTTTAATCTCAAAGTCCAGTTCCCACAGATGCTGGGTTTGAAAATTGTTCGGACATAACCTTGGTTGTACGTTTATCTTAACAAAGAAAGTTGATAACGTTTTTAAAGATATTATTATTTTGTTTATTACCATTGTTTTATTTCTATCTACTGTTAAAAAATTGTTATTATGTTCTGAACATATTTGCCGTAATGTTAATTTGTTAAATCGTTCTATATTTAAAATATAATTAATATCTAGACGAGATTTTTTGAGAAACTTGTTATAGCCGCATTGTTTTTGTTCATTATCCTACTGTCACCGTTGCTACAGCTGGAAGATCATTTTCAAAACTTAATAACAAAGAATCAACTACGCAATTCTACTGGAAAAGATAGTTTACACAATCTTCCATGAGTGGCAAATGAGGCAGATATATTAAAAGACATGGAACTTAAATAAATTATAATATAAGAGATTTTATCAATATAACGTCAAGAAGAACTTTGTTTAATAATTCTTGTTATATAAAGATAGTGTTGCTATATACAGGATGTCACTATATTCGACCGACAATGCTCTACCCCAGGGAGATCTGGGTAACTGAG